GGGATTCACGTTTTCCGGCTTTTCTCCCCACACACAAGGTCTAGAAACCAACGTGCTTCCCACGAGAGCCCAGATCCTCACCCCGTCACTGGACTCCAGGAGCTGGGGCTTTAGGAGACATGCTAGGGTTGCAGGGATCAGATGCTGGGGGCAGGGCAAGGGGCAGCAGCACAGACACGAGACACCAGTCCTCTGGGGAGCAGAGCGAGGCCACAAAGCCCCCAGTTGCCATTGCCAATGATCGCTGCATAAAGGAAAGACTGTCTCTTTAAATAGGAACTCCGAGAAGAGCGGCGGTCGGCCCATCCCACCAACACTGGCTGGACAGCAACCAATGCGCATGCGCGAAGGGGGCGGGTGGCCTCGCACCGTAAGAGTGCGCAGGCGCCAAACTGATCCTCTCGCCTCCCTTTGGACGGCTGTGCGCATGCGTTTGCTACTGCACATGCGTGTGGGGAGGGCAAAGGCGCCGTTGGCCTGTGTACGCGCGTGCGGCTGCATCTGTCACCCCGCGCATGCGCAGTAGTGGCTGGACGCGGCCCGGGATGTCCGGCCGGGTGAAGCGGGAGCGGGAGTCCCGGCCGTCCCCGCGGAGCTCGGCCTCGGGCCGGGTGAAGCGGGAGCCGGCGGGGTCGCGCGGCTCCTCCCGAGGGAAGCGCGAGGCGGAGCCCGAGCGGGTCCGGGTGAAGCGCGAGCCCGAGGACGGGCCGCCCCGGGCCAAGCGGGAGCGCGAGGCCGAGGAGGAGTCGGAGCCGGAGCCGACAGGTGGCGGCGGGGCCCGGGGGGATCGCTGGGGCTGTGGGGGTCCCGGAGCCGTGGCTGGGGTGGGTCAGTGCTGGGCACCCCGCGGCCCATGCTCCGGCCTCTCTTGCTTCAGAGCCCCGACTCCCCTGGGCCCACCGCGGGCTGGGCCAGAGCGATCTGCTGGAGCCGCCCCTGGCCGGGCGCGGGGCCGCGAACAGCCGAAGTCGCTTTGGTGACGGTTGTCCGAGCTGGGTTCTGCTCTAGCTCTTGCCAGACCCGCTGACCAAAGTCAAATTCCTTCCCCGCTTTGGTGCTTCTGTGTCCCTGTGGCTGGGATGGGGCTGGTGATACTCACCTCGCTTTGCCATCCCCAGGTGCGAGGTTCTGAGCATTGCTGGTAGAAGGTTTGATTTTAGGAGGAAATACTTTAACCCACGTGAGGAACAAGGGAAGTGGTCGTTTCTCAAGCTAGTTCTCACCCTAGTTCAGGTTCTCTAGTCAGTGTAACTAGTGCTGTCATGTAGGCAGCCCTAACAGAGTGCAAAGTGCTGGTGTCATGCTCCCAGCAGCCTGCATGGGTTATTTTCTCCTGAGGAAATGCCATGTGGTTCTGGGGTTTCTGTCTCTGAAGCGTTGCTTTTCAGTGGCAGGTACCACTTCAGGAAAACTGTTAATTCCTTAGCCCCTGGGAGTGATGCTTGAGTTGTTTCTAATCCATTTGTGTGGGTCTTATGTTCCAGTGAGATATGGCCGATTTGATCCCGAGGACCGGCGCAGCAGACACTGCCCATACCTGGACACTATTAACAGGTCAGCATAGAGACAAAGCAAACACTTGTAACACAGGGCATGGCAGAGTAGTGGCCTAGTACAGTGGTTCTCATCCTTTCTCGGACTCCTGTACCCCTTTCAGCAGTCTGATTGGTTTTGCATACTCCAGCTTTCACCTCATTTAAAAACTACTTGCATACAAAATCAGACAAAAATACAGAAGTGTCACAGCACACTAGTACTGAAAAATTGCTGACTTTCTCATGATTAAATCCATTGTAATTTAAATATTGTACTTACTTTTCAGAGTGTAGTACAAACAAGTCATTGTCTGTTTGAAATTTTAGTTTGTACTGACTTTGCTAGTGCTTTTTATGTAGCCTGTTGTAAAACTAGGAAAATATCTAGATGAGTTGATGTATCCCCTGGAAGACCTCTGCGTACCCATTGGCCTAGCTCTTTGTGGGTACTAGATACGCTCACAGACATTTATATATTAGGACCTAATACATAAATGTTTGTGAGTGTATCTAGTGCCCACAAAGAACCACAACTGTTTTCTGGAATAGCAGTCTCTGCTCAGGACTGGAATAGTAGCTGTTGCTACAGGGCAGGGGTGAGCTGCATCCGCAAAGGTTGAGCAATGCCAGCAGGAGGAGCAGGACTAGAATGGCAAGGGATGATACATGTCAGGATTGAGATGCAGCTCTGATTTTTAAAATGATGTGAGATCCTAGTTCCTGTGAGAGCCCAGAACCAGGAGGAAGGGGCTCTCTCATATTTGAGGTACTGTCACGTGCAGTGTGGTACCAAGCAGCCTTCCAGTACTGTAGTGTGGGTCACACATGATCATTTTTCTGTTGACCTTGGTTCTCTTGAGCTCTGTCAGATTCATGAGAACGTAGGACAGGTGGGGACCCTACTGGACCCAGTGGTAGGCAATATTTGTCTGACTGTTTCAGGGTAGCTCTGCTAACTTGCTATTACCCTGCCGTTTCAGGAGTGTTCTGGATTTTGACTTTGAGAAGCTGTGCTCCATCTCACTCTCGCATATAAACGTCTATGCTTGCCTGGTGTGTGGGAAGTACTTCCAGGGTGAGTTCACTGCTGTGCTGTATACCTGCCTCTGCAGCAAACAGAAGCACTGAATGGGGGTGTTACCCTGGCTATTTGAACACTTTGGGGGCTCACTTAAAGAGAAGGATATTCCATTTGTCTTAAGTGACAATTGTCTTTCACCTTTTCCTGCGGGCCCTGAATTTCTAAAGCTATTTTACCTTCAAATTGCTGTCAGAACGTGGCAGACCCTTTTCTTAACCATTGCTGTAGCTTGGGCAGGGGACATAGCAAATGTGGGTGGCTGGAGGTCAGTTCTGCATGGATATGTTGCTCGTCTAAACATGTGTTTAGGTGCTGTTCTATGGTTCTTTCTTTGCAAAGTCCCCTTGAAATCAACATGGCCAATGGCTTATTTCATTTTAGTGAAGGCATGTGCAGTTTAAAAGAAAATAGCGTGGTAAGTAACTGAATGTGGGGAACTAATTGTCAGCGTTTGGCAACAAGGCTCCCATTTTAACATTAGCAGGAATCCTATGACTGGATCCCAGGGTTCTTGTAGCTAAATCCCACCCTGCCTTTATGGAAATCTATCTCCTGAGCATGTGAAGCTGTTTTAACATTTATTTTCCTTCAAAGTACCCCCCAAAAATCCCAGTTCCCCCTGAGGCCTGTTCCCAGGTGTGCTAGATACTCAGCAAAAGTGCCTAAAACCAGAGGATTCTAGTGCAGGAGAAGGCAACCTATGGTACACGTGCCGAAGGCGGCACGCGAGCTGATTTTCAGTGGCATTCACGCTGCCCGGGTCCTGGCCACTGGTCTGGGGGGCTCTGCATTTTAATTTAATTTTAAATGAAGTTTCTTAAACATTTTAAAAACCTTATTTACTTTACATACAACGATAGTTTAGTTATATATTATAAACTTATAGAAAGAGACCTTCTAAAAACGTTAAAATATATTACTGGCACGCAAAACCTTAAATTAGAGTGAATAAATGAAGACTCGGCACACCACTTCTGAAAGGTTGCCGACCCCTGTTCTAGCGTATTCCTCCAGAATAAAATTAACAATGAGGGTGGGGCATGGAGGTCTCTGGGATTCTCCTTTGGATTGTAAGCTTGTCTTGATCTGTAAAGCACCATGTGCACCCATGATGCGATATAACAATTTTCCCACCATCCTGTGGTACACCCTCTGCCTGAGGAAGGTTACATGTTGCTTTCCCAGAGTTCACTGTTGCCTTTGCTAGTCTGCGAGACGCCTCCACTTGTTCCTGTCTCCAAAGGGCTGAGCAATCTTCCTCTAGAGCAGTATTTCCCAAAGTGTGGTACGCGTACCCCCGGTGATACGTGAAAGGGTTTCAAAGGGTATGCGGCAGAATTTTTTATTTTACTTTATCATAGCTTTTTTAGCAGCAGAAAACAATTCACTAAAATTTAATATACAAGAATGGTGTAAACTTGTACAGTAGAAATACACAGGTTTACATTGAAACTAATATGATAACGCGTTCAGTAACATCTAATAGCACAGCAGAGCTGACGCAAACCACGCATGTGTGTTGCCACGGCTCTGGCAATACACTTGCCTTTGTGGCATGCGCAGAAGTCATACTGACGGATAAAAGATAAAAGTGAATAACTATTCGTAGTAATCTAAAGATCGTAGCAAGTACATACTTGGTGTGTATCAATATACAAAATTTCTCTTTTTGTTAAACCCATTTACAATGGATTGCTGGCTAAAAATGGAAAGTTTGAAACGTCCAAAAGAAAATTATGGAGGAAATATGAATGTTAGTGATAATTATGCTGAAAAATGCAGTGATATGGCTACATCAGACAATTGTGACGACAAAATTAGTGAACTGTGCGAACCATCTGTAAGTTTATTGAACATACCAGCTGCAAAGAAAACGAAAAAAGCCCGCAAATATGTTGAAAAATATTTTAAACTGGGATTTTCGTGGACTGGCGATGAGGTGGAGCCTGTTCCACTATGTGTGATTTGTTACGAGACTCTCACAAATGAAAGTATGAAACCGTCCAATCTAAAACGCCATTTCGATAGAAAACAAAGAATACGAGGGAAAACCTGTAGAATTCTTCAAAAATAGGCGCAAAGATCTCCAAAAGTCCCAGAAAACAATTCATAATGTGATGGGAAGTGAAAATATGAAAGCTTTGGAAGCTTCATATAGTGTGGCGTACTTAATTGCAAAGTCTGGAGCTGAAGTGATTGGTGAGACATTAGTAAAACCTGCAGCCAAAGTAATGTTGCAAGTGATGATTGGAGACAAGGCTAGCAAAGCTATAGATTGTGTCCTCCTCTCAAATAACACTGTTCATCGTAGAATCACAGATATGGCCGAAAATGTAAAGCGGCAATTATTGTCAGGAGTACAGAAGAGTCGCTACTATGCGCTGCAAGCGGATGAATCCACTGATATTGTGAATTTGTTTGTCAGATACGAGCTGAATAATGAAGTCCACGATGACATTTTGTTCTGCCAACCTATGCCAACACATACAACTGGAGAAGCTATTTTTAAAGTTATTGATGACTTTATCTAAAACAATGACTTGGATTGGAGTCATTGTGTTGGAATAAGCACGGATGGCGCCAGAGCCATGATTGGTTCGAATAAAGGAGTTGTTGCATGTATTCAAGCTGTTGCGCCAGAAGCAAAGTGGACTCATGGTTGCATTCACAGGGAAGCACTCGCCACCCAGAACATGCAGGCAGATCTAAAGCAAGTACTGGATGAAGCTGTGAAAATAATCGATTTTGTGAAAGGCTGCCCTCTGAATGCCCGGCTGTTTTCTCAGCTTTGTGATGAGATGGGCAGTGATTACACACAACTCCTTTTTCACACTGAAGTGCGTTGGTTTTCACGTGGAAAAGTTCTGAATCACCTGTTTGAGCTGTGAGAAGAACTGCAAGTTTCTTTAGATGAAACTTTTAACCCCTGCGAGACCGTATACACGACTGGAAATGGCTATGCAAACTAGCATATATGGCAGATCTCTTTGCTCATTTAAACAACCTCAATCTATCCTTGTAAGGGAAACTCATATCCATATTCCATGTTCAAGACAAAGTGAGCGCCATGGTCACAAAATTGAAACTATGGCATAAACATCTTAGTCGTCGTGAACTGGATTCTTTTCCATCTCTTCATGACTTAGTAATAAATTCGACTAACGAACTTGATAGTGATGTGTTGCAAACCATGAAGCTGCATTTGGAAAGCTTGCAGAAAGATCTTCGTAAGTATTTCCCTGAACCGGACTGCACTTGTGAATGGATAAGGAACCCTTTTATCATCAATGTTCAAACATTGCCAAATAACCTCTCTGCTTCAGAAGAAAAACAGCTCTTGGAGCTGGCTTCAGATAGCTTTCTGAAAACAAAATTTGAGCAAAATACACTGACGTCATTTTGGTTGGGGGTTAGCTCTGAATATCCAGATCTATCGGACAAAGCTGTCAAGTATCTTCTGCCTTTTCCCACCTCGTATTTGTGCGAGATCGGATTCTCTGCGCTGGTTGGCATCAAAACAAAAAAACGAAATTGTCTTATTGACGTGGAGCCCCATCTTCGTCTTAAGATCACAAACATCGAGCCAGATATCCCTGTGATAGTGTCTGGTCAAAAGCAGTTCCATCCCTCGCACTGAATAGTTTGGTTGTACTGAAAAATTTTCAATACCGAAATAGTAAGTATTAAAACTAGTGCTTTTTTCACTAACCTAACCAAACCAGTGTATTTTAATTTCAGAATGATATGAATTCACCATCTATATATATCTATATCTATCTATCTATCTATATACACACATGCTGTTCTGCCAGACTGTTGTTTTGCTTCTATTACTTTAATTATTTCTAGTACTATTTCTATATGTAACTATTATTTCTATTCAGTTTTGTTTCAGCTGCATGTAATATAATTTTGTATTTATTTCTAATAAACATTTAATCCAGAATGAAACGAATTAGGAGTGTGTTATAAAAATGTGGCTACTAACACCCTTCCCCCCCAAATTATCTTCACCGGAGAAGGGGTACGCCGGTAAGACAAATGTCACAAAAGGGGTACGCAACTGTTGTAAGTTCGGGAAACACTGCTCTAGAGCACAGCAGTCCCTCTGGGGAGGGAATGGACTGAGGTGAGGTGTCTCTGGCAATGCACCATGCTGCACCTCTGGAGTGGGGATATCATTAAAACAATTCCTGCACTCCATGCTGCTGCTCAGCACTTGCAGAGGGCAACATTTTTCTCTTAACAGTTCATGGGGTTTCCGGAACATACCCAGTGAAGGACAAAACCAAATACCGCTCAAGGTATAGAGAGCAAACCCTGGAAATTCTGTTTGTCCAGCTCATCAGTTGCCTTTGCAGTGAAGTTTAAGCCATTAGACATCTAGTTCATGCTGTCCCTTTGGCTTCTGTTGCTGCGCTCTGTGTTCCTGACCTGCCTTTTTTGTCCCTTCCGCAGGCCGTGGGTTGAAGTCTCATGCTTACATTCACAGCGTACAGTTCAGCCATCACGTCTTTCTGAACCTCCACACCCTCAAGTTCTACTGTCTGCCAGACAACTACGAGATCATTGACTCCTCGCTGGAGGACATCACTGTACGTTGCCTTCTGGAGCTTTGCTGTCAGTAGTACTTGGGCAGTGGGGAGGGGAGAGGAGGGAGGTGGCTCCCTCCTCTCACATTGGAGGGCATAAGAATGTGCTCTTCCAGGGTACAGTACAGGTTTGTACCTGCATGGGCAAACTGCCTGTTGTGTCATATGGTCCAGATACACACCTGTCCCCATGGAGATCATTGGGCAGGATAGACTTGGTCAGACCAGAAGAGCTGGTGGAATTGCTCCTGTAACTCACTGCAGAGAGGCCTGTGTGTTTGGGATAGAAGGGCCTGAATTAGACTGTTATTTGTGATGCCATATGCAGAGTACAGGCTGGATACATGTGTCCCCAGGCCCAGGTATTTTCGCAGTAGAAAGGAGCAGTCTGCCAAAGGCATTAGCAGAATATTGTGGGAATTAGGGGCAGAGCTGTTACGAATGAAGCATTATCGGGAGAGGAAGGATGGGATAGTGGCTAGGACATTATCCAGAGACTCAGGTTCAATTCCTGCCTCAGACTCCCTGTATGACTTGGTCGGTCACTGAATTTCTCTGTGCCTTGGTCCCCATCTGTAGCTTAACCTAGCCCTGGTCCTTCGCTTTCACGTGGCACTGCTGCTGATCCCTGTCAGACCCCTTCACCCCCTCTGCAATTTTTTTTGTAGATGTCCATGTTTCTATGGCTGGTCCGGAGCTGTGCCTGCACAGCCTCTTCTCCCTGTGGGCCCAGGAGATTCAATACCTCCTGCCTGCTCCCGGAAGGAGTGTGTCTAGAGCGTATAGCCGGCATGGTCGGTCGGACAGCTGCACACAACAAGGGGGGGCTGCTAGGTGTGCTCGCCAAGCCAGGCAGTCGTGGAAAAGCATTTTCAAAATAGGTTGGGTGTTTTAATGGGGGTGTGGCTCCCGGTTTCCATGACTCCTGGGCAGTGAAGTTCACCATTGTGACTAGAGCAGTCACTTGTCAGGCGTTGCGGGATAACTGCTGGAGGACTGTAGGCACAGTGTCTACACTTGCACTGTTTCAGTCTCTGTAGGTTGACCATGGCTCAACACCATTCGAGGAGGTGGTTTTACTGCATCTCTGTAACACGGTGCTTACATTGGTGGGAGTCAAATCTGAATGTAGACACTTGCATAAATAGGTTGATGCAAGGTGGCTTATATCAGTATAACTTTAGAGGGGAAGTCGGTAGGTATTCAAGTTTTCATGTCTGAAGATGCTGACCATTCTAATTGTCCAGTGTGATCTGCCCCATGAGTCCCTAGGCCATACAGATGTAGCATGGGCTTTTCAGTGTTGGGTATGTGTCTTTTCATGCCAGGGTACTGGTGATGTTCTAGGGGCACTTTGAGCTTACAGATCTCTTTACTTCAGTTACTGGGAGGACCTTGCATTCTTCACACTGAATTTTAAAAATACGGATTTTCTCACTCTTTGTTTATTTCCTTTCTTGCATTTTCCTTGCGTGGCCAGTGCAAATCAATGGAATCTGTTCCACTTCTGTTTATCATCAGCTTCCCTTTAGACACTGCTGCCGTAATGTTTGTGCTGTAAATGCTTTTGGGCATCTATATCGTTTAAAAGCTGTTTCCAGTGAAATTTAAAAGACGTGAGAAAACTCATGTTGGTCTTACATTTTGTTAAAACCTTATTTTTTCAAAATCTTCATTCTGATCACTTAGAATTATGTGCCCCTTTCAAGTGATAAATTAGTTGGAATATGCTTCCCACGCAGTAAACCTGTCCTGGAAAAATCACCCAGTGATAAATATGGAACATGGTGCTGGAAGTCAGATCCCAGGAGCTGATGTAAAGAAGCTCTTAATTCTAAAGATGACTAACTTGCTGCCTTTCTCTTTCAGTATGTGTTGAAGCCCACTTTCACCAAGCAGCAAATCGCCAATTTGGACAAACAAGCCAAACTTTCGCGGGCATATGATGGCACCACTTACCTGCCTGGCATTGTGGGACTGAACAACATCAAGGCCAATGACTATGCCAATGCAGTACTCCAGGTACAATAGTGGTAGTCATGCAATCTTTGGGGAGAAGCGTAAAGAGTGGGCAAACTGTGTGCATTCCTCCCCGCCCCCAGAGGTTCTGCCTTTCAGACCCACCCTCCCTCCGGATGAGTGGAATGATGTGGCCACATTTCTTGGCTTAAGATGGACTGCTGATTGCATGCTGGGATTTGTAGTCTCTTTGGCCTGCGCCTCTGTATTCAAGATGAGTGACTGCAGCTTGCTCCATTGTAAGCCGGTTGGACTCTTTCTCTAGGTTGGGCAAAAACTGGGTCTCTTAGATTTAAAACCTTTGTTTAGTTAATTGCTGGGGAATTCCCACATGCAAAGTTAACTTAACATGGGCCACATCAGTGTGTGAATGGAGAGCATTGTACCCGTGTGTCTGCTGGCATGGGGCCATGCTTTTACAATAATTGTGAGGGGCTTCTCTTCCCTTTTAATTTAACTGTATCATCACAGATACTGAAATTAATAAATTATTCCTACAACAAAATATGGCAAAAAAGATCAGCAACGTCCTATTTTCTATTTATGTTCTCCAAAGTTACCATAGATCTAGATCCCTGTATAGAGAGCCAGAATATTAAATTATCTTGCATGAGAATTTGAATCTCTGCAGGTTTTCTCTGCCCCTTTTCCTCGTGTCCTGTGGGGGAGTACAAGGGAATCTTTCACCTGAATCATGTTTCCACAGGAAGCACAATCAGTTTATCAGCTTGTACTTAATTAGTCTTCATTTGCTTGGACTCAAATCAAGCTGGAGGTTGGGAGAGCTCTGAACCTGCTGCCTGCCAATGGGCATATTGGGCTGAGTGATCGCTTTGCCACTGACCTTTGAATGTCTGTGCCCAGGCCCTGTCTAACGTCCCACCTCTGCGGAACTACTTCCTGGAGGAGGAGAACTACAAGAACATCAAGCGCCCACCGGGGGACATCATGTTCCTGCTCGTTCAGAGGTTTGGAGAGTTGATGAGGAAGTTGTGGAACCCCCGAAATTTCAAGGCTCACGTCTCTCCCCATGAAATGCTGCAGGCCGTGGTCCTGTGCAGTAAGAAGACCTTCCAGATTACCAAGCAAGGTGAGACCAAGGGGAGATCTTTAGCACTTTCTTTTCCTTCAGCCACGCAGCAGAGTCCTAAAACATGGTGGCCTGGAGCAGTGGTTTGCGCACTGGGAGGGTGGGTTGTACTGGGAAGGGGATTTCATGCATTATCTGCAGTGTGACACTGCAGAGGGGAAAGCAGAGATCATGCTCATGCTAGTCTGAGGTCCTGGGTGGTCTGTGTTTGTGCCTGGGCTGTGGTGAGAACAATGCTAGATCAACGGGCCTGCGATGGACGAGAGACCCAATTTCTTGCAAAACTGCAGGGCTGAAAATGAATGCTTTTTACCACTTACAATCCGCTCTTCCTGCCTTGTATAAAGCATTCGTTCCTAGCCTTCAAGGTCTGTGAAGCAATGGACTTTGTCGCATTTTGATTTTCTCTTTGGATTTCCTCCACTTGGATTCTAATGTGATTCTCTTCTGAGTGTGAAATTGACATTCTGTGCCGTCTGAATGCTGAGAGTAGCCACCTCTGTGACACTTCCAGACCCAACTGCGCCAGGGTATATACGTGTATAGCACCTAAGTCATGGACCAGTCCTCCTTCATCTGAGGTTCTGTGCAGACATAGAATAAAAAGATGGTCCCTGCCCACAAAGGCCTTACAAATAAGTATGGGACAGGAGACAGCAGGTGGATACAGGCAGACAGGGAAGCATGAGGAAACCGTGAGATAATACAGACCAGCATGATGGGCTGTGGTCACAGCACACCAGGTTCCTTATGGAGCAGCAGTAGGAGGTTGAACCCGCAGAGAATTAAATGCTTTTCATTGTGATTGCCATCATGAGGTGCCAGATGACGGGGGGGGGGGGGCGGGGGGGAGGAGTTTAACTCACTGGCTCTGTGTAAACTCCTTCAGTGTTGGTTTCCTCTCTTGCTTTGTTGCCCTGACTCATTTTCCTCAATGTTTCCCTGTCTTCAGGTGATGGCGTTGACTTCCTCTCCTGGTTTCTAAATGCCTTGCACTCTGCTCTTGGCGGGACAAAGAAGAAGAAAAAGAGTAAGTTGGGGAAATGATGGTGTTTCTGTGACTGCTGCTTGTTTAACGGATGTTAATTCATGTTTGGCCTAGCGTGTGCTGATGTGGATTCTCTGGAGAATAGGTGTCCACCAACTTAACAATTTTAGTTTGCTTGTTAAAAAAGAAAAATAAATCTCTCAGCTAAGACTCCCCCCCTTCCCCCCAATTCCATCCTAAGATACTTGGTTTGTTTCAGAGGCATTGGGAGTGCAAAGGAAACTCACTTGCTTGTTTCAAACAGCAGCCACAGTGTAAAAGGAGAAGAGATACTGTCATATATTCACAGGTTAATTGGAATATTTACAGTTGTAAAGAGTCCAAAATGAGCCAGGTTTTCAAAAATAAGACTACAACTTTGAAGTAACTAAATCCAGACAATAAAAATCACATCTGTGGTAACTGAGTGGGGTTTCTAGCACATCCTCTTTCCTCAGACTTTGTATTCAATACCCCCCCTCCCCCGCACCAGCCCACACAAAACTCCTACCGGAGCAAAGACTTCCTCAGCTTGGCCCTTTGTCTCATCTCTCCAGGTTAGGATTCCTCCCACTTCAGATGGAGCTGCTGAGCTCTTAACCCTGGTTAAATCACCTTTTCCAACTGCAGGTATTGGCTTCTTTACCTCAGAGTCCTAAAGTAATCTTGGTGATTTCAGTAGTGCAGCCAGTGGATCACTCCATGGCACCTGTCTGTTAGCCACATGTTCCCTCAGCATTCTCTTCCCTAAATGTTCAGTACAGTGTAACAGTCAAGGCAAGAAACCCATGACAAGAAAACCATGTCCAGCAATCTGTTTCCTGTGCAGCTCTTGTATATTTCACATGTTCCTCTAAACGTGCTGCTTCTGAATGTGGTGGTCACTGGAGGTTCCTGTCTTGGGAACTTGCACTGCCCCAGCAACTGGGATTCTCCACAAATGGCTTTCAGACCAGAGCCTTCTCTTCAGAGCTCTACTTGGTCACTGGTAACAGTTCTTTGCTCTGTCTGCATGTGTGTTTTCACAGCCATTGTGACCGACGTGTTCCAAGGCTCCATGCGGATCTTTACCAAAAAGCTTCCACACCCTGACCTGGTGAGTTCACTTGGCCCCGACCATTCTGGGTTTGTGCCCATCCTTCACACATGGAACGTCCAGGAGCAGTGGATCCCATGGTTGAATTGGGGGATGGGGAGAGTGCCACACGTGCACACCCAGCGGGCCTGTTTCAGTACAGTTCCTGGGCGTTATTGCTTGTGACTGGGGTCCCAGTGCGGGCCAGCTATGGCCACTCAATTAGGGTGAACTGCAAAGAATGGGGCAGACAATCCCCATAAAGCTGGTGGATATTCCAATACTTAGATTCACAAAGCCAGCATAAAACATCATCTTTATTACCTTACTGGTTACTCAGCAGTCCAAACAACACAGTTCCCTTAAAGTGATCCAGCCTCAGGCCTCAATCCAGGTACTCACATCAAATATGATGAAAATTTCTGTAAATCATATTTCATCATATAAAAGAAAAGGTTCTACCAATCCCAAAGGATCGGACACAGCACCTCCCAGGTTATTGAATGTTTCAGATCTTACCCAAATACACACTGCAGCCAATTCTTATTAACTAAACTAAAATCTATTAAAAAACAAAAGTACGGTTAAAAGATCAATATACAGACAGACATGAGTTCAGTTCACTGAGGTGCAGATTCATAGCAGAGATGGTGAGCTTCGTAGTTGCAAAGAGTTTTCAGAAATAGTTCATAGGTCATAGTCCAATGTCCAAATCTCGTATTCCGGGCGAACCAGCATAACTGAAGACCTCAGTCTTGCGACTCAAACTTCCCCTGATGAAGCCTCAGCAGATCTGAGATGACAGGATCAGGACCCAAGGATCTTCTATACAATTTCATGTCTTGACAGATTGGGGTTCCTCCGCCACTCACAGACGATTTGCTGTACATCTCAAAGAGAGATGAATACTGAGATATCCCATGTTTATAATTTATTTAAATGCTAGGATGTTCTTTTGATCTCTGAATGATCCGAATACAACATAGACAGGGACTGTTGGTTACATACTCATACATATGTAAATACACAAACACTCTCTCCCCACGTCTTTTGAGGGTTATTTATTTTGCAGGATGTTTAACCCTTTCTAGACATGCGTCACACTGCTGTAGGAAATTCTAGTGGAGGCTGCAGATGCACTTAGAGGAGCTACAGTGAAAGCAGATCACCTCCCCCAACCCTGTTATCCTTGTGTCTGCATTGCCCATTGCAGAGCCAGTGAAAGAGATGTCAAGCAACGAAGGCTTGCTATCCAAGACTGTCGTAATACAGGATCAGGGCAGACCTATCGAGTCTGCGACCCTTTCCTCGTGCCACCGCAGGTCTACTGGGATGGGAGCATAGGTGACTGAAGTTGCTTACGGGCACTAGAGAGGCAGGGTGGGTGAGGTCATATCTTCTATAGACCAACTTCTGTTGGTGAAAGAGACGAGCTTACACAGAGCTCTTAGGGTACTCAGTGTCACAGCTAAATACAAGGTGGAACTGGTTGTTTAGCATAAGGAGTAACACGTATGGTAAGAGACCATTCAAGGTGAAATGGGCAGTCATAGGACAAAAGAGGGGGGTTAGTGGGTGTACGAGGGTTAACCAGGACTCGACCGTCTCCGAGGCGGCGGGGAGCCACACCGGCTCACTCCACACAGTCGTTGTTTGGGGGAATTAATCTGTCCGCGGGGGGTCTCCCTCGGCAGCCCTTGTGGTAACTGAAATAAACACTGTAAGCCCAGGCCCTGGGTCAGGGCGGGCAACAATGAGTCAGGGACTCAGGCCCTCAGGCAGGGCTGA